GAAAGAACAATACACTTTAAACAAAGAGAGTAAGAGGCTACTTATTTGAGGGAACATGCAGCACTTCCTCCAACCTATAATATAAAGTATTGATAATTATTTCACAATTGTAACAAAATAATTGAAGCCTTGATCTTTTAAAAATGTCACATCTTCATAATTATGTCTTTTTAAATGTCTTATAATATTATAAGACATTTAGATCAACTAGCTAAGGGTTAATCCAGCTTAATCAAAAGTCTTAAATTTAAATCTTAAGTATGCAGCAATGATTAAATTCTAGGTGGGAGGTATGTCCTCCAAAAAAGTGCCCACAAGCTTTTGACTGGATTAATCTATGTCAAAGACCTATGATATCAAGCGAAAGCCAAAAAAAAAAAAAAGGAAAGGAAAGAAAGAAAATTGCCTCAATAATTACGGATCATTCTTTTTAGAAATAATAAATGATGTAGGAATATAGTTGGAAAAAAAAAATTAAATTATCCAATATTCTATATTTTGGACAAGAGGGAGTATAATTTTCTCGTGTGATAATATGAAATGGATTCATAATACATTGTGATTGTTTTATCAGTGGAGGATTTTTAGAGATTTTCTATGATTTCTTGTCAGGAATGATTCTTCGCTGGTGTTGCTCCCCACTACAATACAAGCATAAGGATTAGGAATAGAAATGTGCTGTAGTTTGGATTCCTTACATTCTTAAAAGTGAATTTGAATGTTTCAAAAACATATGATTGGAATTTACTACTTTAATGGTCAGATAATGATAATATGTCATAAAATTTCCAGAAAACAAGCGATTCTTGTTTTTTTTAATATCTTACTAGCGAAGCCGGAGGCTAGAGTCCCAGAATTATTTGCTTTGCCATACCAACCATCATTATGGGCCTTATTGGGCTAGTCTGGAAATGCTACTGCAGCCCACCTAGCTTTTAATGGCAATTAATTTATATTTATTTTATTGCCACGTGCGATAAATATGTAAATAAATATGAAAGGCCATTTGTTCATATTCCCAAGTTAAAAGATTACAGTTCAGGTTTGACTCTAAGAAGTATTATCATGTTCTAGGCCTTGTTTGATATAATAAAATTTTTTTATTAAAATAAAAAATAAAATTAAAATTAAAATTAAAATCAGAATTAAAATAGAATTGAGTTTTAAAAGTGTATTTGGTATGTTAAAAAAAATAGATAAAATCCTTACACTATTTTTATTTGGTATGTAAGACATGAAAATAGAATTATACATGAAAGACAAAAAAACCCTAAAAATTAAAATTAAAATAAATACATATTAAAAGCTTGATTGTGTTTTAATTTCCTCATGTATTTAGTATATAAATAAAATATTTTATATAACAGTAAATATATATAATACAAATGTATACTATAAATATACACATAGTTTATAAAAGAAATATTATAAATACACAAATATATATAATACTATATTATATATATATATATATATATTATATAATTTATATAAAGACTTTTACACCCATAGTAACACAAAAAACACAAAAATAACATAAAAGCAGCGAGAGAGGAAAAAAAAGCCAAAGAAACAAACTTAGCCACTATCATTTTTTTTTTGGGCTAAAGTCAGCCACCACATTTTGAAGACCAGAAGTTAAAACAAAGCTACTCATGATTTATAAAGTAAAGTTGTGAATTCAATTTTTCACAAGGATAAAATTGTCTTGAAAAATAAGATTTTATAAAATTGGTCTAGATTTCATAATTTTAAGTAAAGAATTCAATTCAGGCTTTTTTCATGAAATTATAATTCATGAGAGTTCTAATTCATGTATATCAAATATCTTTTTATTAAGATTCCTACCCCAATTTCACTTCCATCCTTAAGATTCAACTCTACCAAATGGGGCCTAGATTCAAATGTGTCAAAGAAGACTCCTTTGATTATTAATACTCAATAGGCTACAATGATATTATTTCCGTGCATATTTGGATGAATAAAATAATCAATTTTAAAAGCTTTCATGCATTATTGTTCTGTAAAAATACATTTAAATTAATAAATAACTAAAAATATTTTAAAGTGTGAACCATGAAGCTTATACTTCTAAAGTAACATTAAGTTGACGTAATAAACCTTTTTTTTTATTTCTTTCCCACTTCAAAGGTATTCTATAATTTTTTTCGTTTTAATATATTTAAATTTAAAATGTTATTGTAGCAATAAAAGATATTAATGAAAATCATGTGCCCAGGATAAAATAAATATAATCTTGGGACCAAAAGATCATGTATGCTGAAAAATATTTTAACCGAGTGCTTACACTAACCACAACACTTGCTTCTGGACTCAATTAAGATTATATGCATATAAATATTTGAATCTACAAACGTTGATAAATGAGGTCACCACTCATATTTTTCTAAGTCATGTTGTTATTTTTATATAGTTTAAAAGATATTTTATATTTTTTTATCTTAACCTATCTAACTCCTCTTTATTGACACATGTATCATTCACTTACCCGTCACACAGTACTTAAGTAACTCTTTATTTGGATGTAAAAGGTACAGAGTGATAACGTTCAACACAACCATCCATTTGACAATGCAATGATGGCGGCAAAGAAAGTTGTTTTTGGTGTTGGATTGTTGGCAATGCTTGACTATTTAGAGCTTTAGACGAGTATCATCACGATATCGCATAATTTCATATTTTTATCATTACAATTTATAGTTTGTTCAATCATACACGATTGAGAAATTTAAAAAATGAAAAAAATTATATTTAGATCTTAAACAAAAAAATTTAATTATCACAAAGTTTGTTGATTACCGAACTAAGGGGACTGACAATATAATCAGTAATTCTCCATTTAAAAATATTACATACTAACTTTTCATAAACATTAAATACTATCAATTATTATGTAATACTTTTATACTATACCTGTTGTCATTAATTTCTGTTAATAATTACCAATCACTGTCTAACTGTAATCAACAAAGAAACCATCTATAAAATTTTATTTATTAATTATTAATAGGAATTGTTGGTCTTAATAAAAGTAATTATGACCATTTAAGCAAATATTTTAGGGACAACCGCACCATAGGCTCTAAAAAAGTAAAAAATTATACTAAGCTCAATACATTTTGACATTACACTATGGACTCAAGGGCTTTTGTTACAGTTTCTTAGAAATGAAAGTATAATTTTGCCTTTATATGATTTAAAAACCCAACCTATACAAAACTCTCATTCACAAAGTACAATGCGACGTTTATTAATTCTTAACACGGTATTCATATGAGTCCAGTTGATCTACAGATTAAAATATACAAAACATACAAAGCATATACAACTCAATATCCATAGACGTATAATATAATATTTATAAATTCTCAACATAATATCTATGCATATCCAATTGATCTATAGTTTAAAATATACAAGTCACATAGAGCATGTATAACATAATGTCTATGGATGCACAATATAATATTCATGAATTATTAATACAATGTCCATACGTGTCTAGTTGATTTATAGGTTAATTAAAATATACAAGTCATATAAAGCATATACAACACAATATTTATGAATGCACAACATGATATTGATGAATTCTCAAGACCATGTTCATGAATTCTTAACACAATGCCTATGCGTGTAGTTGAAAATTCATAAACATCGTGTTATGCACTCATAAATATTGTATTATATATTGTTTGCGTCACTTGTACATTTTATTAAATCAACTGATTAATTAGATATGCATGGACATTATGTTGATAATTCATGAATATCATAGTGTGCATCTATAAATATTATGTTGTACACTATCTAAGTTTTCAAATTAGATAATGACAAAATTGTACTCTCACTCCTAATAAAAATTACAACAAAAACCCTTAAGCTCGCAGTGTAATATTAAAATGTATTAGACCTGTAGTATAATTTTTTTTTTTTGTTTTTGTTAAGGCATTTAGGGTGATTATCACAAAATTTTAAGTTCAAATTCACTCTAACATCTATTGAAAAGTTACTCGCGCGTGGAACTCGACTTAGCTTGAATACCAAATAGTTGAAAAATAATCCAAAATAAATTATTATTTATATGTAATAATAATAATAAAGAATTACATTAAAGTTTCAATCAAAAAGATTAATTATTATAAAATTTATTTATAATTAAATTAAGCTGCATAACATAACTAATTATTAGTTGTCAATATAATTTGACTCTTATCAATGAATTTTATAATAATTAATTTTGTGTAGGATTTAATTATAATTCTTCCTAATAATTATGTTATTCTTTAAAAAAGAGAGATGGATTCTTTGTCCATCCATGATGTAGTGTCTTTACTGGACCCACTGTATATTTTGAAAATTGGCATTAGTGAGGCCAAGTGTTAAATTGATGAGCTGCTAAATCATGAATAGGATACCTATTTAGATCTTGAAAAATTGACACCAATTTAGTGCATTGTGGCCGGCGAAGCTTGAAGAATTTTTTTTTTTTTTTTGCATAAAAATTAATTGAATTCCAAGTTATGTCTTTTAAAAGACGACAAAAACTTAGCTTGCAGCATTACTCTTTTCTGGAACAACGGAAATCAAGAGCTGCATTATTAGGGCCAGCAATTTATTTCCTTTCTATCAGCTACCGAACTGAATTCCAGAGTGCACAACCAACTCTCACATAAATAAATTAATCAACTCTTTCAGTGCATAAAATCATTGTCCCTCAATTCATCCTCAAGAAGAATTCCTTGAAAGAAATTCCCCAGCACACCCAAAACCTAAATCTCAAAAGATCTGCAATCATGTTGGATCTGGTTCACATTCAACTGAGTTTCTCTCTTTAATTTTTTAATCAAATCACCGAACAATAACAATTATTTGAGTTGCTACCATGATTGCCAGAGCAAATTATGCAAATCCTAATCCAAACTTTCCGGGGGGAGAGAGAGAGAGAGAGAGAGAGAGAGAGAGGTGTAGACGTAAAGTCATTCAAAATTTGTTCTTTTTTTTTATTGTTATTATTTATGATTGATTTTGATATATACATTTCGCGGCTTCAATATGATCAGCACCCGTGGTGATCATAGAATACAATATCCCAGAAAATTAAAAAGGAAAAAAAATCTCACAGGGAAGTGTAGTCTCCGTAGACATCAGAAACTCCAGAAGCAGCCCAGAGCCGTTGATTGAAATCATCCTGCATATCATCGGGCACGAAGGGGGTCCTGCACAAGGGACAGGTCTTCTGATCGTGATCCATCCAACGGTCCAGACAAGCCCGGTGAAAAATGTGCTTGCAATTCGTCAAGCACCTGATTTCCTCCTCCCGCTCGAACTCATACAGGCAGACGGCGCAGCTCTCCGGCGTGTCGGCGGCGGCGTTGGCGACGAGGAGGTCGCCGAACTTGACGACGGGGAGGATCTCGCGGATCAGAAGCGCGGACACCGGGGGGCTGTCGGGCAGTCGAGCGTGAGATTCGGACCAGACGACCTCGGTTTCGAGGAAATCGGAGAGGCCGAGGTAGTGGAAGAGCAGGAAGATGAGGTTGCGGATGAATCCAAGGAGCGAGAGTGTGTGGAGGAAGAGATTAGGTAAAACGACGTCGGTGTATCCGACCGGAAAGCCCATGGAGACCTGGAGGGAGAGAGAGAGAGAAGAAGATTCGAAGATGGGAAGTGGTAAGGAATGGCAGGTAGAGAGAGAGAGATAGGGCGTTTGAGGGTGGGGAGAGAAAATATATATAGATGGAGAAAGGTGGGGAGAGAGAGAGAGGTGAGAAAGGAATGCGAAGGTTCTGTTAAGGTGTTAGCGCGTGTGAGAAATATATATTATGAGTATAGTGCTGCCGAGTGAAAAGGAGAGGACGGTGTTAGATGTCTGTGAAATACGCTTTTACGAATGACTTCTACTTTGACCATTTTCTTCTTGTTATATTGACATTGTCATTCATAAGTGCTCAGAAAATTGTTTGGCGCCCGGTATTCTTTGGTCGAGGCCTCAAATCAATATTTGCCTATAAAAAATTACATCGTAGTGCGACAATTTCTGTCATTTACAGCCTCTCTCTCGCTTGAATTATTCCCACCTCTTAAAAAATAGAAATTGCTAATGTATTAATAAAAATTGATCCATAGATAATTTAACTGTCGCAAAAAAAAAAAAAGGTGTATATAGATGATATCTATTGAGGAACAAAACATATGCTAACACTAACATCATAATGGTAAGAACTATGATCATTTAAATATAAAGTCTCAAGTTTCAGTTGGTATGAATAATGTAAGAAATGTTTTTAAAAAATTTATCCACAAATAAGCTCTATTGAAAATACTTGAATTTGACCTGGTCAAAAGTTATGGGTTTATTACACGTGGTGAGTTATTCCCTTTTATAAATTTTTCCAAACTTAATTGTTACCCTTTATTGGCCCCTGGGTATCGTTTAGGGATTTAAGTGTACGTTGAACACGTTTTAAAATCTTGACACTTAAACGACGCAATTTACTTATAGTTGATGATGGAGCTTGTATTTAAATTGTTACCGCTTAATACGTATTATGAAACAAAAAGTGAATATTCTGGTTCAAAAAATTGAGAATATAATGTTTTTATAAAAGATCCTAAAATGTTTTTAGATGAGTTAACTCCTGGTTAGAAGATTTGATAACGTTTGAATATAGTATTGAGTATCAAAATATTGTATATAAAAAAATTTAAATATTATAGTTTCAATTGATCTCTGAAATTCTTAAGATTTTATTTATAGATCTGGAAAAACAGATGATTTTATTTAATTATTTGAAATTAAAACATACCTACAATTAAGGTTAACTCTCATGACAAAACTTCCGATGTCTGTCTACTTGTACCCATTAATTCAACCAAAAATGTATGCATCCTTATCATTTACACTTAAATATCATCGCTTTTATTTTGGAAAAATAAAAAAAATTAAGATGATGTGGAACATGTGTTACAATCTGTCAAGTTTAGATAGAAATAGAAAAGGCACCAGTATGGGGGAACAAAACAAGTGAAACAACCTCAAAACGATTAAGAAATGTTGGGGAGATCATGGTTGGAAAGTGGACTCATGTTAGTGACAATGGCCGGATAATTAAGAAGAGGTAAGGCCGGTGGACACTTTAAATACTTCTAGGAATGTGCCTCAGTCTTCTATATCCTATCCTTATATAATACTTCCTCCGCCTCAAATTATAAGATACTTTTAAATAAAATATCACATATCAATAAATCTCATTAAATATATTCAACAACCTTATTTTTTCAAAACAAAAATATAAATTTTTAAAAATACTCATCATTTAATACATTGAAAAGAGAAAGGACGAAAATGAATTATAGAGAGAGAAAAGATGACATTGAAATTGATACATTTAATGAAATCTTAATCTATTTAAAGTGTCTTATATTTTGGGACGAAAAAACTCCTTTAAAAGTATCTTATAATTTAAGATGGAGGGAGTATATGATAAATTTAACTAACTTCATATTTATTTAGTCCTATTTATATGGTGGTTAGAGAAGACTAATTTTGTTTTTATTTATATGACACTTTACTATTTTTTTATTTTTATATTTACCTTTCTACTCTTATCAAATGCTAGAACAAATTATTAAAAATAATACTTTTTGTTCTTATTAAGGAATAGAAATTTATTAAATTTTAAGACAAGGTTAATAAGGTTTAAAGTTTCTTTAATTCTAATAAAACATGCTGAAAGTAAAATATAAATAGGATCAAAAGAATTATATCTTAAAAAATGGTTGTTATATATTAAAATTGTTAAAAAGTATGTAAATTTTCAAGTTCATCTTTTTTTCAATTAATAGTCATAATAAATTATTATTTAAAAATTAAAAATGATAACAAATAAATAAGGGATAAAATGAAAAAAAATGAAAAAAAATTAAATACTCTAACATTATCTTATACTAAAGACCAACAAAAACTTCTAAAGCTTGCCTTCTATAAAGGATGGGAAGGAGTACAATAATTATTAATTTGAATTTGAAGTTCAATATACCTTTTTATATTCCAAGTGCTAAGTTGAAGGTAAGATTTGATGTCCTTTAAATAAGGTCGTGGTCCTTGTAGATCCGTGCTGGTAAAAAAAAAAAAAAAAAAGCGGGAATATACGTGTGTATTTTCCAGAAAAAAAAAAGGATTATGTCATGGGTAGCATATAAAATATCAACGAAACGTCATGCATACGCATCATTTCTTCGAGTATACGAAAATATTATTGTGAAGTGAAATGTAATATTCCCATCTTTAAATGTAAAAATATTGTTTCTGGTCATGTATTATACATACACAAGTGTCACGTGCTTTTATTTGGAAGGGACGAGGAAACTGTTGTGGTTGGCTTATCGATCACTTCTCCATCATTGTTTATTTCATAATTTAATTATCCTGGTCATAGATTCGTAATTGGATTTATCGTATCGAAATAATTATCGATCGATGACTACGAATCTATGATGAACATAAACAATTAATTTTCTTACCACAACTCTGTTTAATCTTTAATAGCTTCACATGTTCCCTGTGACATGGTCCAAGCACATTGTTTAAATGTTGGCAAGGGGAAAAAAAAAAGGTAAAATTGTTTAGTAAGTGACTCGTCTCGCGACGAAGTCTCCATTCCCGCAGTCATATTTTTTACCCTGAAAAAAATCTTTAAAGTTCTGTTTGGTTACGAACAAAAAATAGAATGAAATATATTAAAAAAAATCAACACAAAAATAAATTGAATCACCCTTTTTTCTCATAATAAAAATTATTAATATATACTATAAATATGAAAGTCGTCACATGTCACGAGTCTCACATCGGGGAGCCTTATAAGTATTGTAGAGTTTATAAGTGTAAGGAGCTCTCTCACCCAATAGCTCTGAGACATTTCCGATGGCTTCACTCCACAGCACTTCACTCGGCCTTCTGCCAGCCAAAACCCTCTATGGGTAGCCCTTTTTATGGCATCAGCCTCTTAATGAAAGCATTAATGTGACAAGTACAAATTCAAAGAAAGAACCCATTCCAAAAGACTAGCATGTTGGATAGAAGAACCTTTGACATTTATAAACCCGACAATACTTGTAAGGTTTCCCAATGTAGGACTCGTGACATTACGCCTTTTAAAAATTTTATGAATCATAATTTACAATTTTATAAACAAAATTACCCTTATCTTTTATGATGTGATTCATTATTTCTTTTAATCATTTTATTTTTATTTTTATTTTTTTCAATCTATTTCATTTTATTTATTTTTAATAACTAAACGGAAGCTTAAATTGTCTCAGCTCATTGCATCTCTCCCCCTCTCCCCCCCTCTCTCCATCTCTATATGTATATTTATGTGAGGCAGTAATCTAGATGACTCGATATGATTTTTTAAAACATATAAAATCCAAGCTCGCAGTCTTACCTATTAGCTCAATTTCACACATGGTGAAGTTCCTTGTTGCCAGAAATTAAAATGGTAGGTTTCCTTAAGATGTAATGATAAACAAAGAAATCATGTTAAATATGGTGATTAGGCATGATTACTCAATTTCAAAGTGGTGTGTGAGAGAGTGAGGTTCAAGAATTGACTTGTTAAACATTCATCTGGGGATTTTTCCCTTTGAAGACGCGTGATATAATTATATCTACCTGCCAATACGTTTTTAATTCTAATGACATATTTTGAGAAGTTAAATTGAATATTTTTCAGCCAAAATAATTAAAAGTTGTAACCTAAACTTTTGAAAAAAAATATCATCTTCTGGCCACAAAAATTAATAATTTACAATTTTAGATCGTGCTATCATAATATTTTTTAATTCTTGAAAATAAATGTTGTGTTTGCACTTTGCAGTTTTTGAATCTAAATTTTAAGTTTTTTTCGTTGCATGTGATCTCTGTCCTTAACCCCCACCCCCCCGGGGAATCTATTACATATCTCATTTCATGGTGGCGCATAAATCGAATGAAAATAAATAATTCTTATTCTTTTTAAGTTTGAGGTCTTTACACAATCACAAGGGCCCTATTTATAGTTTTGGGATCGTGAAACTGAAGCTTTAAAATTAAAAGGGAGGTTACAGGAATTAAGAAAAAGTTACAAAAATTTTATTATACTCTATTATGTGATTTCCATTTCTGCTCTTTTATTTTTTAGTTTCACATGAGCTATGTTTTTTTTTTTTGGGTAAAATATTACGGGCTAGTTTGAAGTGGCATTTAAAGTCTTTGCATACACCTTTTTTATTTTATTCTAAGTTTATATATGTTATTTTTATCTTTCATGAATTATTTCCCATATCGTGTAAATTGTTTTAATAAGTGATTGTGTTCTAAGTAAGTGAATTTTTTAAAAGAAAAACGATCAAAGTATAATTTTTGTCCTTTAATTTTATATTTGGTCTCTAATTTTTATAAATTATATTTTTAGTTTTTTAATGCTAACACCGTTAGTTTCATCACAAAAGGTTTTCATATTAAACTTTTAAATATTAATAAAATATTTATTTGTTGACTTATTAAGTTTATTTTTTTAAAGGGTTAATGAGCAAATAAAACCTTGAACAATTACTCAAAAATCGTCCTGGACCCTAAACTCTTAAAATATACAAAATAAACCTTAAAATTTTAAATTTATAGTAAAATAAACCCTAACTAATAACTTTTTTAATACCATTACTGTCCATACAGTATTGTAATAGTCAGGGTTAAATTCATAGAAGAATAAACACTAA